AGTTGGTCTTCTGGCACTTCTTCCAGATGAAGTAAATCTTTTGTGTTACTGGTAGGCCGGTCAAAGACAAAGCACTTCCGTTGGGGAAAGAAACGCCTGATACACTCTCTAGGCATGTTGGAATTGCGGATTTGGGGGTTGGTTTCTGTGGAATTGTAAAAAGAGTGCCCAGTCAAGAGACTAACGGTATGCAAGGGCCAGGGCTGAGGACTGTTCCGAGGATCACTGCATCAGTGCAGCTCCCTGTTGTGTAAATCTATTTTTATCCAGTCATACAAAACAGCTTGATTCTACTCTCAAGGCATGGAAAACCCACTGTTGTACAGGGTGAGAAGCAAGAATGTACTTTTGAAAAGAAAAAGGAGGCACACATGACAAGTAAAAAACTTATGGTTGGATTCCTCAGTCCTTGAATGGTGGCTGGGAAATAGATGATTTCTTAAATGTTTTTTGAGTGATTGATTAATCACACAATTTGTCAGAAATACCTTTCTGATATGACAGTCCCACATTAGAAATGGAATCTGGGGCTGAAAGCAAACTAATGCTACAAAAGGATAAAATGATGTTGGAAATGATCTCATGAGAGTCACAGAAGATACCCATGTTAGTAAAGAAAAATGGATCAAATTCAGAGCCAAAAAATTATGAACACCATAAATAAAGGTTTTTTTGGTATATTTTTATTGAGACAGAGTCTCACTATGACACCCTTGGTAGAGTGCCATGGCGTCACTCTAGCTTAGATGACTGAGTGAGACTCTGTCTTTAATTAAGTAAGTAAGTAATTAAGTGAGTCACTAAACTTATGGTAATTTACTCTTGGGCTTAAGCAATTTTCTTGCCTCAGCCTCCCAAGTAACTGGAACTACAGGTGCCCACCACACTGCCCAGCTATTTTTTTGTTGTAGTTGTCATTGTTGTTTAGCTGGCCTGGGCCAGATTCGAATCTGCCAGCCCCAGTATATGTAGCCTAGAGCTGAGCTACAGGCACCAAGCCAGCACCCTAAATATGTTTAGAGAACACTTTAGCAATAAAGTCCAGAGTACAGTTAATCTAAATGGAATTTGGAGAATTCTTCACTTTTCTCACTTTTCTATGTCAGAATTGGATTTGACATTGTCATCCAGAGGGATTCTGTGGCTACTCTCATCTTTTCCAAATAAAGGCTTGTTGAAAGGATGAATAAATGAATGAACAAAAATTGATTCCAGATAGTCATCGGTTGTCTACTCCACTAAATGTAATCCATGTAATAACTTTATGATAGATTGACAACAGCTTGTATAAGGCTGTAGAAAAAAGGTGATATTACAGAAATGAAAAATGAAGGATTTGGCAGTCTCGTTAGAAGCACATACAAGTGTCATTTTACTTATTTCAAAATCATTTAGTATATAAATATCCTTTTCCCTGATCATTTAACTATCCAGGTTGGTAAGAGATACTGAGTAAAATGTATTTTCAAAATTTTGTCATTTCATTTCTTATGATTCTGTGTTTCCCTACATACAAACAGATGAACTGTTTTTTTTCTTCACATTGAGTAAGAGGAACACTTAGATGTAATGAGTAAAATAAATATGTGAGCCTTAAGACATGAAAGCATTGATGGCAATGCTGAAGGGTTTCTTTCATGGTGCTGACTGGTCTCAAATCACTTGAAAGAACATTAAGTCCTAAATGTCCTCAGTGAATTTAAATGCCAGCCTCTGGAAATTTTCAGGTGGTAATGATCACAAAACCCCAGCCACCTGTCCATCACATATCACCAATCACCATTATCAAGGGCCTCACACCCATCTCCTGAAAACATTGATGTAAGCTGCTGAATGACTGGGCTTATTTAATCCCATCCCTCCCTACTGAAACTTCCCCTCCCCAGGCCACCATCTGATACCTGGAATCAGCTTCAAGGCGTTCTCTAGGTACTCATCTTCTGTGATGACATGTTCATTTAACTTCAGTTCCAATGCAAAATCCCGTACAGTCCAAATAAAGTCTGGGAAAAAACTTACAAACTCAGCAGCACTCCCTGCTTCCTCAGTTCCTGGGGAAGATTTTGTCTTGATTAGCTTTGTTAGTTCAGTCACGTAGCTGAAGTCTTAGCTAAGGAACGAGAAGCAACCTACCCAAGAACCTCCTCACTGCCCCTACACAGAAAGTTTATAAACATTGCCTTTGCCCCATGTCCATTCTTACTCAACAAGGACAATGGAGCCCTAGCCAAGAAGACTCAGTGTCAGTTTCCATTCTGATAAACTCAGTGAACATTCTGGAAGGATACTGCAGCTGCTCCAGGGCCTGGTGGTTGATGGTGTGCATGCTGTTGTAGACAAAGGTGCTGCTCAGAAGCACAGCCAGGGCAAAGATCCACGAGTCATTCTGAGAGTCCCCCTACGATGCACGTTTGAGAAAATGATTTAGGAGACTACTCTTCATTCATTCATATGGTTGTTCATTTACTCTTCAGCTGTACTGTAGCTGAGTAAGAGAGAAAACTGGAGAGCCTCATGCAGAAGAATGAAACTGTCTCCCCGTCTCTCACCATATACAAAAAGCAACTCAAAGTGAATTAAAGACTTAAAGGTAAGATAAGAAACTATTAAAATATGGGAAGGAAACCTGGAGAGAATATCTTTGACGTTGGCCTAGACAAAGAATTTATGGCTAAGACTTTAGAAACCAATGATACAAAAATAAAAATAAATGAGGCTTAATTAAACTTAAAAGTTTGGACAGCAAATTAATTATTGAACAGAGTTAACAGACATCCTGCAGCAGTGATTTTCAACTGGTGTGCTGCGGCACCCTGGTGTGCCGCGGCACCCTGGTGTGCCACGAGAGGATCTTATGTGCACCATGAAAAATTTTAAGATCTTTAACTAAATTATTTTCAAAAGAAATTCAAAGCTCAGTAAGAATATTCTTTTATTCACTCTTTTTTTTTTTGATCAACATAATTTAAGTGTGCCATAAAATTTCCCCTCTAGGTTTAAGCATGCTGTGAGGTAAAAGAAAAAGGTTGAAAACACTGTCCTATTGAATGGAAGAAAATACTTGAAAACTATACATTTGAAAAATGAGTAATATTCAGAAACTAGGAAGAACTTAAATCAGCCCCAAAACAAATAATCTCATTAAAACATAGACAAAAGACATGAAGAAACATTTTCCAAAAGAAGATAAACAAACGACCAACAAGCATATGAAAACACGCTGGACATTACTAGTCATCAGGGATGCAAATCAAAACCCAACGAGATGCTGCCTTACTCCTTTCAGAATGGCCATTATTACAAAGTTAACAAATGACAGATGTTGGTGTGAATACAGTGAAAAGAGAATTCTCATCCTTTCCTGGTAAAAATATAAATTAGTACAGCCTCTATGAAAAATAGCATGGTGATTTTCAAAAAACCTCAAGGTAGATGTACCGTTACTGAGGATCTACCGAAAGGAAAAAGTCCTTTTATAAAAAAGGCATTTGAATCCATTTATCACAGCACAATAAACAATTACATGTACCTGGAATCAACCTAAGTGTCCATCAACTGACATTTGGGTTAAAAAGTGGTATAAACTCACAAACACACACACATGCACAGCATAGAATACTACTCAGATATGAAAAAGAATTGAACAGTATGTTTTGCAGCAACTTGGATGGAACTAGAGGCCATTATCCTGAATGAAGTAACCCAGGAACAGAAAGACCAAATACCACATGTTCTCACTCCTCAGTGGGAGCTGAGCAATGGGCATGCACGACAGATTGACTTAATGAATACTGGTGACTCACAGGGGGAGAGGAGGGAGTAAAGGATAAAAAAAATCACCTGTTGGGTATGATGTACAGAGCTATTCAGGTGACGGGTACGAAAAGCTCCCATTAAATTCTCCACTATACAATTCTGACATGTAATAAAAACAATTTTATCTCTATATCTATTAAAATGAAATTAAATACACACACACACACACACACACACACACACACACACACATAAGACAAAGATCTTGAAACCAGAATATGACCTTCAATATTTGAAAAGCAGGTTTAAAAGTCCAAGAAAAATATAGGAGAACCATCATGAGCAAAGAAGATTCTCTGCCTTACCTTTTCCACATCGCCTAGGCCCTCAGTGTCCAGAAGGACCAGGGTCTGGTTCAGCTTGGAGGGGTGGGGGACACACCACATCCAGATGCCTTTGGTTTCAGACCTTATTGTGGAGCCCAGAGGGAAGCCTGCAAGGGAAGGGAAGAAACAACAGTGACAGCAGGCAGACCAGGGATAAAGGGGTTACAGTGGTTAAACTGACAGAGAAGTATGTGCCAGGCAGAGAGAAAGGGTTGCTTCAGTTTCAGCAAAAATAATCAATCCAATCTCCATATATGTACACACACATTTAGGAATTCCTCAATTTTTTTTTCTTTTTTACCTTGTTTAATAGACTGAGGTTGCTGCTAAGCTGCTGAGTAACAGGGGAAGTAAGACTTAAAGGGAGAAAATAGCTGCATGTTTTTAAAGACAGGATCAACTAACAGAACCATAGGGAGATTGTCTTAAAAGTTAATGAGAACCAAAAGAGACAGCCTGGTAGGAATAAAATATATGTCACAAAATAGGAAATACAAATGGAGAATACATTTGTGAAAAGGTGCATAAACTTTTTTATAGTGGAATACATAACCTTAAACTCTATCAAGTACAGATCCACAAAAGTTACTAAAACGTTACTAAATTTTTGTAGGATGTGTAGAATTCTCAATTACTGCTTGTAAGAACATAAGTTGCATATAAGGTTTCAAAAGCTGTTTAATGCTACTACTGTAGGGTTGAATAAACTCTCTGATCCAAAAATTTCACTTCTGAGCATAGTACACATGGGAATTTTTATACACATTCATCAGGAGGGAAATCCAAGAATATTCACAACTGCCTTATTCATTAATGACAAAAACTGGAAGTAATACCAATATTCATGAATGGTACATCAATCCTCCAACAGAGACATAATATCCAGTAGCAAAGTGAATAACTTTCAGATGTTTATGACAAGTAGAGGAACTTTACAAACTTCTTCTTGAATAAAAGAAGCAAGGCACCCAAGAACACGTAAAATATAATTACCCTTATACAAAATTTTAAAGGAAGAACCATTTTTAAGAAGTGAGAGTGGATGAAGTGTGCTGATGACCAAAATCCAGGGGGACTCTAGTGAAGATGTGAGAGGGTTTGATTTTTTGCCTTTAGGGTTGATAATGTTTTCTTTCTTGATGTGGAGAGTGATTACACAGGTGTATTCACTAGCTTTGTCTCACATGCACGGTATATGTACTCTTCTCCACGTGTTTTAGTTAACATACAAGAAAGACTAAATAGAGAAAGAGAAGGGGGCATAATTTATCAAAATTTTGCTACGATTTGGAGCAAAAAAAAGGACCATAGCTCACTTTATGTATGAAATATACAAGTATCCTACTGTCTGTTCTTCTACTCATCTATTTTTATAAACAGGATGTATTAAATTACATTTGTGTGCTTGAGCAAAAGAGGTATAAGATAAAGAAAAGGAACCCCTGCAGCAGCTGAGCTCTTGAGCAGGTGAGAGTGGATGGGATGGAGAAGACCAGAAGAGCACATCCTTTGATAGGATTATTAGAATTATCCACTACTGAACAAGAGTGAGATTTTGTAAACATCTTGGGGTTATGATTATAAATTTGGTGGGGATAATTAGAAGTTTTCTGCATAGGGAAGAGTCACACTCTTCTTTAAGATCCCTAGGGGAGATGTGATCTGCTTGTGTTATCCCTGGTGCCAAGGAAATAGCTCCCCCAGGACCCCAGGACCTGACTCACCCTGTTTCTTTCCTGCAAGACGATTCATGAGATAGGATTTTCCCGTACGATATAGCCCCACGATGGCCACCACCACCACAGGCTGAGAAATGTTCTTCAGAATCTGTAATGCTTTTGGATTCACCATCATCTTCTCTTGCAAGTTTTCTACCAGACAAATGGGGGCCTTCATGGTGGATTCAGATGCCATGGTATCCTGCAAACCCAGAAATACCACTCAGTAGAATGCAAGAGCCTGGAGTCATCTGCAGTGGTTACCCAAAGCACATGCCTATCTGCTTTCTGCTCGCAGAAGGTACTCATGCTTTGTTTTGTATGTTTCCTAAAGATGTTAAATGTAAGTCAAAGAAAAATAATCAAGAGCCAAACTTTTAAAAAAATTATTTTAGATTAATATGACAGTACAAATGTTTAGGTCACATTGCTCGCGTTTCCAAAGCAAAGCTGAGCTTTTCATTGCGCCCTTCATCCAGAGGGTTCACTGCATACCCTTACACTGTGCACATTAAGTGAGAAGTCACCAATCCCCCTTCTTCCTCCCCTTCTTCTTCTCCCTCTGTCCCCAATGTGAATATACTTGTGATTTTCTTTCATGTGGGCATGTAGCTGTTTTTCTATTGGTTTCATATAGAGTACATTGGATACTTGCTTTTCCATTCTTATGATACTTTACAAAGAAGAATGTGCTTCAACTCCATTTAGGTAAACACAAAAGATGTAAAATCTCCACTTTCTATGTCTGAATACTATTCCATGGTGTACATACACCACAGTTTGTTAATCCATTCATGGGTTGATGGGCACTTAAGTTGCTTACATATCTTGGCAATCATGAAATAAGCTGCGATAAACATTCTAGTACAAATGTTCCTGTGATAAAATGATTATTTTCTTCTGGGTTAGATAACTAGAAATGGGATGGCAGGATCCAATGGAAGGTCTACTTTCAGCTCTTTAAGTATTCTCCATATTTCTTTTCATAGAGGAGGTATTAGTTTGCAGTCCCTCCAACAGTGTATGAATCTGACAAAAGGACTGATAACTAGAATCCACAGAGAACTCAAATTAATGAAGAAAAGAGCAAACAATAAGTGGAAAAGAGACTTGAGAGAAATTTATCTGAAGAAGAAAGAGGATAGCTAGAATCTACAGAGAACTCAATCAACAAGAAAAAAGCAATAAATCCCCTTTGTAAGTGGGCAAGAGACTTGAACGGTAACTTACCTGAAGACAGACCAATGGTCAACAAATCTATCAAAAAATATCCAGGTCCCTAATCATCAGAGAAGTTCAAATCAAAACTACCCTGAGATACCAACTAACCCCAGTGCGAAGAGTCAAACTTTTAAGGATGGAAATTACCCACCATAAGGGTCTTTTCAGTTTCTCCATAGTCCAGAAGGGGCAGCCAGGGAGCGTCTGAGAAAGGAAGAGGAAGGAAACAACCCCCCTGCCCCCCAGCAGCGGGCGTGTGCCGGGGTGGACGCGGGTCCCTCCCGGGAGAAAGGACTTCAGCCCAGTTCAGCAGAGGAGGGTGGGATATGGGTTCTTCGCAGCTGCCCTGGGTGGATGATCCTGGGGACACCGCGCGGGGTCAGCTCGCAGCCACTTCTGGACCAAAAAACTGAATCTCTGAGACGTCTGGAGCATAGCTGAGTTTCACAGAGAATCTGGCCACAGGCGCAGTCCTCCAGTTACCTCTGCCAGCCCCTAGTGTGGCCTCAACATCACCGGTGCGGAGTCTCCCTTTGGGAATTCGTTCTTGGATGTTTGTTCACCCAAATATACATGAAAAGTAAACCCGGAGCTCAGCGCCCATAGCACAGTGGTTACAGCCCCAGTCACATAAACCCGGGCTGGTGGAGTTCCAACCCAGCCTGGGCCATAAACAACAATGACAACTGCAACAACAACAACAAATAGCCAGGCATTGTGGTGGGCGCCTGTAGTCCCAGCTACTCGGGAGGCTGAAGCAAGAGAATCACTTAAGCCCAAGAGTTTGAGGTTGCTGTGAGCTGTGACACCACAACACTCTACCAAGGGTGAGTAGTGAGACTCTGTCTCCAGAAAAAGAAAGAAAGAAAGCTCAGAGCGACCTTACCTGGCAGACTCAGCAGCAGAGGACAAGTTCTCAGTTCTCAGCAGCCCTTGTCACTCCCCAGTTTTCTTCCTGAGTCAGCCTTTAAAAAGCCTCAGGAAACCTGCTGTTCTCAGAAGCTGAAAGCGGGCAGGGGTGTTAAAATGTCACACAAAGGGCTGGAAGGAAGCGAACTGAAAGCGAAAGCACAAGCGTTTGGGGCAGGAGGAGTAAACGACTGGGTTTTTTGTTATTTTTCATTTTCTTTCACTCTCTCTTTTCCCCCCTTGTTTTACTGAGGCAGAAGAGGTGGAAGAAAAGTGTGGGCTCCAGCACCAGGACTCTGAAACCCAGTCCCTCTTCCACCCTTGGCTGCAGCCCCCAAATGAACACAGAGCACCAGCTGTGGGTGGAAACCCAGGAGCAGACTCAGGGTGTTGCAACAGCCAGTTCATCAGGGTTAACTTTGTCAGAAAGGAGTGTGGGGTTTTGCTTCACTTGTTCGTGTGTTTTCTGTTTCTCATCTCCTTTTGTAAGTTCTTTTTCATTAACTGTAAAAATACATATGTGTGTGTTTGTGTCTATGTTACAAAGATTAAAATTGGAAGGAGGTTTCTAAAATGATTCCTAGAGTTCTAGCTTGGGTAACCAAGTACATATTGTCAAAAAGTAAGGAAAACAAAAACATAAATATGGTTTTAGTACACACTGAATTTTTGAACATCTTTAATTTCTGGTATACTCCTAGGTCATTCTATGGAACTGTGTAAATTTGAATACCAGGGAGTCAGACCAGTAGAGTTTATCATGCTGGTTCCTATCTCCTGAAATTGAATTAGGTGAGTTGATAGGCCTATTCTCTTTATTACCAATGTGAATCCAATTCTTGGCAGATACTACACACTAAATAAATAACTTGCCAACTTGAATTGCTGTGCAGCTCAGCGTTATGTCTGAAAGGTTAAACATAAATGCTATAGAAAATGCAATGAAATAGTGAGGATGGTTTGCTATCATCTGGCTCAGGGGATGAATAAAATGGGAGACTGAGAAAAGCAGGGGACAGAAGGCGAAGCTCTCAGAACACCAATATTCTGAGTGTAACTACAGGTATAATGGGATACGTATGAGGAAGTTGAGCAAAAGTAGTCAGAGAAGGTTCTAGGATTTTTAGGAGAGCACATGTCTCAGCCTGCCAGGATGAGTGTGAAGAAAGAGGAAGTGATCAATGCTAATTGCATGGGGAGAGTACACGGAGGAGGACCAGGCATATTTTTAGATTTGTTGATATTAGCTTATTATTAACAAATGTATGTTGAGATCATGGAGCCCACAGCACTGTTCTAGGTTCTCAGTGTCCAGCAGTAAACAAAATAGATACAAACTCTTGCTTCATGTAGTTACTACTTTAAAGGAAAGATACATAATAGATAAAATAAATGAGAAAAATGTGTATATGTGTCTACATATATATATACGGTATGTGTATACACACACAGACCAAAACACATAAAGTGCTTTGAGGTCACATGGGCAGGGAATAGCGATATGGGGTAATGGGAGTTGACTTTATATATAGGGCAGTCAGGTAAAGGCCTCCATGTGAAAGAGACAAGTGGAGGTGATTATTGAGTTTATGAGAACCAACATAGTGAATTGATGAGGAAGGAGCAGGATGGATGGAGAAGTTCTGAAGAAAGAAGGAAAAAGAGACAAAAAAATGAATGTTTCTAATCATAGTACAGGACGCATCTTTATAGTGCCTAGGCAAAAATGTGAGTTTAGGAAATAATTTGTTGGAAGAAAGGATATTTTCTGTTCATTGGGTGACAGAAGTGTGTCTGAGGGCTTGCCCGCAGTGGACAGAGTTCCTCCATCTGGATGAGGCTCTACTTTAGATTTTTTCATATAAATGAGTGAGCATTTCATGACCCCAAGACACAGAGGACATCAGAGAGCTTTGATTGCCCTTTTATTCTCTCTACGACATTAGGAAGCAGCACACTGCTTCCAACACTCTTCTCAAGATGGGTTGACGTCATTCAGGCAGTCCTGGAGCCCAGGTGACAAGAGTTCTCACACAAGGATCTGCCCACAAGGCAAAGCTGAGATCTCTGGGCACGCTGAGCCTCTGCTTCACACAGGGGAGGCATGCTGGCCACCTCTGGGTAATTACTGTGAGTCTGTGTAGGACCCAAGCACAATGCTGTGTCATCTGGGGCAGGATAAATGGTGATAGGCAGTACCAGCTCTCATATCTCATTTGAGACACTAAATGAAGTATTACATAGCAAGCTAGTATAATTTCTGGATGAAGACTGCCTCCTCCATAATTTTTCGGTGTCGTATTTTCTGTCTACCTTTTTGAGATTAGATAACATTTTTCATTTGTTTTCTAAAATTTTCAGCTAATAAAATGGGTTGCTTGAAGGCATTGATAATAATGAAAAAGAACTTCAGTAGAGCAAAAGTAGAGCATTAAAAAAATTGATCAGAAGTGAGAAAAACAGGGAGAAAAATGTAGAATAAATAAGATTATGGATCCCAGAAAGGGAAGCATGACCAATAAGCTGAAGTCCTCACAATGCATACAGTGTATTTGAAACCCAGTGTCTGGGTTCAGATCCTAGATCCATCCTTTACTGGCTGAGAGGAACTTGTTCTCTGTGCCTTAGCTTCTTCATCTATAAGATGAAAATATTCATAGTAACTACCTCATTAAGTCATGGGAGAATTAAATATCTTGTAATATTCATGGCCTTACCTAAAACATGTCTGATACATAAGTATTGTGAAATATTTGTCCTAAACACACACACACACACACGTATGCACACACAAGGTGTCCATAATTTTCATGTGCAAGGTAAAATAGTGTGCCAAACTATATGGACACCCTGTGTATGTCCATGTATTAGGAGGCATGAAGGAAGGAATGCCAAATGAAGGTGAAGGACTGGCTTAAGACAGGCACAGCAGCATGTCTCCCAACCAGGAGTCAGTGGGGTATGAAGGACACCAGGACCTGCACAAGCAAAGAATGGGGCATCCAATGAGGAGGAAGGGCAGAGGGGCAGGAGCCCATGGAGGAGGAATCAGGCAAAGGACACCCAGAACAGCCCAGGGATGCCACAGCAGAGATTCAGGGGTCAGGCTTCCAGGGTTCAAACCCCAGGGATCTAGTAATTTATTACCTTTGAAACATTACAAGAGGACTTGACCTCTACCAGCCTTGATTTTCTTATCAATATTATAAATTTAAAAGTTTTCTGTCTGATTCACTACTGTACAGGCTAATAACAAATAGGACATCAATAAGTTACTTTCAATTTTCCAGAGCTATTCTACTGTTTCTGCAAAAAGGTAATGAGTTAATATGTGCCAGTGATTCCTGTAAATTGCATATTACCAAATAAACCAAGTTAACTGAGAATAATTTTGTCAGAAAAAAACACCAACTGGTTTCTCATCCATTGAAATTGCAGCATCCTCTTAGACAGAATGAAGTGGAAATGTTGAACAGGACTATATCAAGTTTCCAATTCTTTCTGCTGAGTCAAGGAAGGTGGTGTGTTTCCAGGCATTAGTCTATTTCCTCCAGATTTTCATATTTCTAAGAATATAGTTTTTTGTAGTATTTATTAAGGATTTTCTGAATTTCTGAGTTGTTATTTCACCTTTATCATTTCTGATTGATGACATTAGGAATTTTACTTTTCTGTTTCTGGTTAGGCTAGCCAAAGTTTTGTCAATTTTATTAATCTTTTCAAAAAACTGTTTGATTCGTTGATCTTCTGAATGGTTCTTTTGTTTTCCATTTCATTTCATTCTACTCTAATTGAAGTTATTTCTTTTCTGAGTTTGGGGTTGGAATATTTTTTCTTTTCCAGTTGCTTGAACTGTCCCATTAAGTTGTTGACTTCCAATCTTTCCATTCTTTTGAGGAAGGCTTGCAATGCTATAAATTTCCCTCTTAGGACTGCCTTTACAGTATCCCACAGGTTTTGATAATTCATGTCTTCATTGTCATTTTATTATAAAAATTTGGCAATTTCCTTCTTAATCTCATCTGTGACCAAGCTATCATTCAGCATAAGGTTATTTGGTTTCCATGACTTTGTTTGAGCATGAAGATTCCTGCTGTTGTTAATGTCAATTTATTCCATGACGGTCTGAAAAGTACAAGGAATAATTTCTATTCCTTTAAATTTGCTGAGGTTAGACTTGTGACCTAAGATTTGATCAATTTTGGAGGATGGTCCGTGGGCTGATGAGTAGAATGTGTATTCAGTTTTATTCGGATGAAATGTTCTGTAAATGTCTGTTAATCCATTTTTTGTGGCGTCAAGTGTAAGTCAAATATTTCTTTGTTTAGTTTATTCTTGGAGGATCTATCCAACACTGCCAAAAGGGTGTTAAAATCTCCAACTATTATAGTGCAGGAGATACCAAATTATTCGTGTCTGTTAGGGTTTCCTTTATAGATTGAAGAGCATTCTGGTTGGATGCATAAATGTTAGTAATTGAAATCTCTTCATGTTGAGTACTTCCCTTCACAAATATAAAGTGACCATCCTTTACTTACCTTCACAAATATAAAGTGACCATCCTTTACTTACCATTTTTGGTTTAAAGCCTATTGTATCTGTGAATAAAATTGCAACTTCTGCTTTTTTCTGATTTCCATTTGCCTGAATTATAGATGTCCAGCCCTTCACCCTCCGTTTATTTGTATCCTTTCAGGTAAGATGAGATTCTTGTATGGAAAGATATCTGGCCTGAGTTTTGGTATCCAGTCAGCCAATCCATGCCTCTTTAGAGGACAATTTAAGCCAGTCATATTAATTGAGAGTATTGATAAGCATGGTAATGTTTCAGTTGATTTTCACGTGTGCAGTGAATATTTTTAATCCTTTCACCATTGTGGATGTTTGGTTTTGTTCAAGGCTTTCTGAGTGAGTTTACTTTGGTGATAGACCATTAAGCTAGTCATTATGGAGGATGGGTCTGAGAATATGCTGGACAGCTGGTTTAGTTATGGCAAATTTCTTCAACATGTGTAAGTTGGTGAGGTATTTGATTTCTCCACCACAAATGAAACTCAGTTTAGCTGGATACCAGGATTCTAGACTGAATGTTGTTTTGTTTTAGGAAATTGAAAGTCAATGACCATCCCCTTCTGGCCTGAAATTTTCAGCTAAGAGATCTGCAGTCATTCTAATATTCTTCCACTGGTAGGTTATGATTTTCTTATGTCTGGCTGCTTGCATAATTTTCTCATTCATATTCACTTTGGCAAAGTTAATACAATGTGTCTAGGAGATGCTTTATTTGGATTAAGTCATGCTGGGCTTCTGAAACTGTCTGCTATTTGA